TACATTCCCCTTGATCCTGCCCTACCAGGTCTCCCACACCCACCTCCCCACCAATTTGGATCGCTTGTTGTTCCCTTGTCCCTGGGTTTGTTAAGGAGTAAAAAGTCTTGTCTTTCTCCTGAGGAACAACTGTATAGTATAAATCCTATATGAGAAATGGCTTCAGAGTGAAACTCAGTGGGATACGAACTGTAATGAACCTACCTGTGTAGCTTTGTCCTTCATGCAAGGTGCAGCCTGTCCATGAGTATCACGAGGCCAGTGCCCTGCAAGGTATGGAGCAGCGAGTGTATCCAAAGAGGAAGTACGACGAATAATACTGGAAGGGCTTGAAGAAGGTGGGCGTGTTTTGTCACCTAGATTTAAGACAAAAAAATATTGAGTGGGGGTAGGGGGAAAGGATTAAGAAGGAAACAAAGTAAAATCAGTTTTAAACTATGTCTCTCTAGCTTAAATATAGAGAATTATCAATAGAACGAAACAAGCTATTAATATACATAATAAGTTGAATAGATCTCCAGGGAATTATGCTGAATGGAACCAGCCAGTTCCCAAAGGTCACATACATGATTTTATTTATATAAAATATTTCAAGTAAAAAACTTTTCAGAAATGGAAGAAATGTTAATGGTTGCTGGAGTTTGAGACAAGGGAAAGGAGGAAAGAAGACAGGTGCTAAAAGTAAACATGAAGGACTGATCTTTCTGGTATTAAAACTAATCAGTATTTTGACTGTGCATACAAATGTAAACAGAAGATTAAATTGTACTAAATTTAACACAGAGAGAGAACAAGTAAAACTGAGGAAATTTGAGTATGATCAGTGAATTCTATCAATGTCAACTTTCTGGTTGTGAGAGCTTTATGACATGCTACTACTGGAGGAAACCAGGCAAAAGATTTATTGTTTCTTAAGAGAACTTTCACATCTATGAAGGGCTCAGTATCTTTAGGGAAAATGCCATTATCTCTTCATTCCATTTTTCCATGAACTTTTTGAAGCCCCCTCGTATAGTCCCCAATTAATAACCAATCTTTAGTGATTCCTATAAATATTAATCCCAGATCTTTTCCTATTTGGTCTAGGATTTAATAACTAAAAACACTTTTACCATAACTCCAAGTATCAGAAGCTCTTCTTAGAAATCAACATTTGCAGGGGGAGGAGGGAAAAAAGGAAAATGAGCTGATTCCGGGAACCCAAGGAGCAAGCGAATTTTGGGAATGATGAGGGCAACAAATGTACAGATGTGCTTTACACAATTGATCTATGTATTGTGATGAATTGTATGAGCCCCCAATAAATTGATTTATAAAAAAAAGAAAGAAAGCAACATTTGAATTAAAATCCTAAGGAGGAAACCTTAGGGTTTTAGGAAATCCTAAAGGAAACTGGGAGAAGAATGACAAGATGAATTTTAAAAAGAAAAAAGATTTCAGTTAATAAATATACTCAGTAAATTTAAAACTCAATGGATGGACTCAATAGAAGATTAGGTACAACTTAATACAGTATTATTAAGCTGGTAAGAGAAATTACACCCAAAATGAGATGAAAACTTTGAAAGAATACTTAAGAGACATGGGAGAAAAAAACTAATAAGATGTTTATTGCAACTTATGTGCAATACCTAATTCCAGGAGAGAAAAGAGAAAGGGAACATTCAAAATGATTAGCTATAAATCACACAATAGAAATCTGAAGATCCATACTCACTGTAGTAAAACTACGAAATCCTAAGATACGTATAAAGCCAATACTGCCATCAAGTCACTGACTCAGATTGACCTTTCTGTAGGTTTCAGAGACTGTACCGTTTATGGTAGTCTTTCTCCAGTGGAGATGCTGGTGATTTCAAACTGCCCACCATGCAGATCGCAACCCAACTCGTAACCACTACACCGCCAGGGCTCCTAATATACGTATAAGTAGTATTATATTAAAGTGCTATCACTCTAGTTCTATGTCACTTGTTCTTCCCAAGGTCATACGTGGAAACATTTTGTGATACTCTTACCTTATTTCTAGGGGGTCCTAGTGACAGAGTGGTTAAAGTGATTGGATGCTAACAAAAGGCAGAGGGTTTAAACCCACAAGCTGCACTGTGTAAGAAAGAGGAGGAAGGGTCTATTTCAGAAAGATGACCATTTTTGAACCCTACAGGCAGTTATACTCAGCTCCCTAGGCTCCCTGAATTGAATCAACTTGTACTTCTGATAATGGGTTTGGTTTTATTTTCTATTTGCATTTCCTTAAGGTCGTACATAGTTACAAGTACACCAGTAAAAGTTCAGCAGCTCTTTATGTGACCCACATAACAAATGACTGAATTACACTAAGACTACACTGTTTTTACACAAATTACCTGTACATTATGTTTTTTGGGTTTTCTTGACAACTGTACACTCCCTCAGCTTATTTTTTTAAGCATAGTATACACACTTTTATCAAAACATATACAAATAAGTTAGCTCCTTTTTTACAAAGATTCCACCAAAGCAAAAGAGGAAGCCCCTGCTGCACCCATAATGGGTGCCAAAGCAAAGGCATTAAAGGCCAAGAATCGGCCCAAGACCCAAAGGCTAAGTAGGCTGCCCAAATACCCTCAGAAGAAGTGTCCCAAGGAGAAAGAAGCTTGACTGCTAAGTCATCACCAAGTTCCCCTTCTTGTGTTCTTTGTGAATGTCAAGGCCAACAAGCACTACATCTATGTAGCCAAGGTCAACACTTTGATGAGGTCTGAAAGGGAGAAGAAGGTACTTGTTCAACTGGCTCCTGACTATGACGCTTTAGATGTTGCCAACAAAATTGGCATTATTTAAACTGGATCCAGTTGGCTTATGCTTAAATATAAACTTTTTTTTTTTTAAACATTTTATTAGGGGCTCATACAGCTGTTATCCCAATCCAAAATATAAACTTTTAAGACATTAAAAAAGTTAGCTTAGTGTGTTCACCTTACAGAGAAGGCGAGAAGTTGGAACAAGAAAAGTATACTAGGTTGGTTATTTGCATAGAAATATGGTAGTTATAATCACATCTGCATTTCTGATAATCATAATAGCTGCTTCACAGATGTACATCAGGTAAAGAATTTGCTTTCAAAATGGAAAAATTATTTTCCTTTAGCAATGCCTAGTTGTTGCAAATGCTAACCATCTCTCCATGTATAGTCCACCATTTATAGTATATTTTGATTAACAGAAATAAAGTAGATATTTAAAAGTTTAAAAAACATACACACATTATTTAAAATGATAGTGAAAAGCAATAAAAATACATGTTCTTGGTTTTTCCTCTAACTAAAAAGTTAATTTCTATTAGGATAATTATAAAAAGGATTGTTCTTTTATGGGGAGCAGGCACACTGCGTAAAGCTGTGTACATTCATTAAGATCAAATAACTAAAAAACGGTTTTGCACTTTCCTTCCTACATGTAACTATTGCTTCACACATCCAACACTGCATAATCAAATAGACCTAATGTGATTTCTTTGAGTTTAAATATATATTAAAAGTTTGTTGTTGTTATCACTTAAGAGTCGACTTTTCAAGCTAGCTTCCCAAAATCATTAGACTTCCACAATGAAAAGAAGAACAGAAGAGTTATATACATGGTCATATGTTAAAAAAAAAAAAAAATTATTTTTTCTTTCTTTTTTTGCTTCCACAAAAGCAAGCTCATTGATTTCAAGAAAAAAAAAAAAAAAGTATTTTTCTCTTTCAAACTCTTCTCTTAAACCCACTCAATTAAAACACTAACTAAAGAACTGTGAGCTGGTTTCTAGGCCAGGGGTCCTCAAACTTTTTTAACAGGGGGCCAGTTCACTGTCCCTTAGACCCGTTGGGAGGGCCAGACTATAGTTTAAAAAAAAACTCTGAACAAATTCCTATGCACACTGCACATATCTTACTTTGAAGTAAAAAAACAAACGGCAAAAACACACGGCAGGCCGGATAAATGTCCTCGGCAGGCCACATGTGGTCGGCAGGCCGTAGTTTGAGGACGCCTGTTCTAGGCTTTTAAAATTAAAAATTATATCACAGTCTGTCATAAAACTAAACAAAACAAAAATAGCATCTATAACTTGCTTGTGAATGTTTAATTTAAGTTCCCAAAATCGATCAAATCTGGTGCCTACTGTGACTGAAGTTTAGAGAAAGTAGGAAGGCTTAAAAGTGAAGAATGACTCAATGATTCCCACCCTAAGTGAACAAGGGCTGTATGTATAAGAAAGTCCAAAGGACTCGACTCTTCAACAGCTGATAAGACCCTGCAAGATCTGGCCCGTCCAGCCTCACTTTTATTTCCTGTACAGCCTCCCACCCTACAAGTTGAGCCACTTGCACTTTCCAACATGTGCAATGCCCTTGCATGTCTCTATGCTTTTGGCTTTGCCAAGATCATCTTCATACCCCTTTCTTAGGTTTGGCTAAATCACACTGAAGCATGGTAAGTTTGAAATGCTGGCCTTGCAGTTCGTACCCCAATTTGTACCATCACCCACCCCCCACACCCTGTCACCAGGGCTCCGTATCTGACATGTAGGAATGTTCAGTGAATGGCTGTATGAAAAAAAAAGAAATTTTATTGTTTAACTAAGAAATAAAATCATTTATTCTAAATGTGGAGTAAATGCATAGAAGAGAATGAATTTTTATGTTACTATCTTCCTCAAAAGGTTGGTACATGCAATAAATTCAAATGTTCTTTATTGATCTAAAGTAAATCAAAACAACAAAACAAAACTTGACTTTATTTTTAAAAAAATCTTTATCTGCAGCAGGGTGTGGTGTTGAAACCTTCATTCAGTCAAGGCCTTGGGCTCTGGAGTTCAGAGTTCCCCAGCGATTAGTACCAGTTCAACTGGTTTCTGGAGATTTCAATAGCATTAGCAGAACATCCCAAACCATGGCCCTTAGGTATTACATTACAGAAGCTCAAAAGGCTTTCCTCAAAAGGTTTGATTAAGGTATTTGCAGAGGAGTCTATGGAGCCCTGATGATGTAGTGGTTACCCAAGAAGCTGCAATCAACAAGGTCTGTGGTTCTAAACTACCAACCACACTCTGGAAGACAGATGAGGCTTTCTACTCCCATAAAGAGTTACAGTAGCGGAAGTTCATAGGAGCAGTTCTGCCCTGTCACTGAGTCTGCATCAACTGAATGTTGTTGAGTTGAGAGCAATCAAGAAATCAAAAAGCAACATTGCACTGGGCAAATATACTGCAAAAGATTTGCTTAAAGTGTTAAATAGCAAAGGTGTCACTCACTGAGAGGACAAAGGTACATCTGACAAGGCAAACGTATTTTCAACCACATTATATGTATGTGAAAGCTGTGTGAAAGCTATACAATACCCAAGGAAGACATAAGATTAATTGAAGTCTTTGAATTACAGTGTTAGGAAAAAAATATTGAATATGCCATGATCTGTCAGAAAGAACAAACAAATCTGTCTTGGGAGACATGCAGCCAGAATGCTCCTTAGAAACAAGAATGGTGAGACTTCATCTGACATTATTTTGAACATGTCATCAAGGGGGACCAAAACTAAATCAAACTCACTGCCAAAAAGTCAATTGTGACTCATAATGGCACTACAGGGTAGAACTACCCTATGAGTTTCTGAGAAGTAGAAAGCCTTGTCTTTCTCCCTTGAAGTGGCTGGTGGTTTTGAACCACCAACCTTGTAGTTAGCAGCCTAATGCATAAGTACCATGACACCTGGACTCCTGAAAAAAAGCGCACAATGGTTGGTAATGTAGAGGGTCAGAAAAAAAGGTGGAAAACAGTCTACAAGATGGACTGAGATACAATGGCCACGACCATGGGCTCAACATAAGAACAATCGTGAAGCTGGCACAGGATTGGGCAGTGTTTTTGTTCTTTTATAAGTAGGGTTGCTATGAATTGGAAACGATTCAATGACAACTGAGAGCGAAAAGAGCTTGATTAAATATTGGCATAACGTTTGTACCATTCTGTTATCTATAAAATTACCCAACAAGCAAAAGGCATAACTAGGCATATTTATTAGTTCGGAATAGAGGAAAACTTTCCTTTTCAGGTAGAGAAATAACAAATTAACACTGCAGAGAAATCCAAGGAGCCCCAGTGGCACAGTGTGTTACACACTGGGCTCTGCTCGCCACAAGGTCAGCACTTCAGAACCACCAGCTGAGAGATGAGGTTTTCTACTCCCTTAAGGATTTAGTTTTGTAAACCCACAGGGGCAGTTCTATTCTGTCCTATAGGGTTGCTATAAGTGGGAATTGACTTAATGGCTGTATGTATAGTTTGTTTGAGTTTAAACAAAAATCCTAATGGTGCAAAAATAATCTCAATAGGCCACTAGCAAGACACTATTTGAATGAGTATCCTTCCAGAAATTGGTTTACACAATGCACAATTTCATTTTTTTTAAAAATCAGGTCCTGTTAGGCATAATATTAGTTATTACTAAGGGGGGAAAAGGTATGTCAATGATTGTTTCCATATTAGGGTAAAGGGTTGATTCACTTAACTACTAAAATTTTTACTAGGATTGCAATGAACTCTTGGGTACAAAGAAAGAACAAACAAATCTGTTTTGGAAGACATACAACCAGAATACTCCAGGGCTTTTGGATACAAACACTCTTAGAACCCATGTTCTTTTTTTTAATCATTTTATTGAGAGCTATTACAGATATTATAACAATCAGTAATTCAATTAGATCAAGCATAATCATACAATTGTTGCCACCATCAGTTTTAAAACATTTCTTCTTGAAATCTTTGATATCAGTTCCCCTTTCCCCCCTTCTCCGTCCTCTCTTCCAGTACCCTCAGGGAATCCTAACTCCCCTTACTGTTTCTGAAAAGTTTATCTATCTTGGATTTCATGCATGGGAAGATCGTAATTATACAAATGAGCATATGCAGGTCTAACAAGGTTAATGAGGTAAAACTAAGACCATAACAGTAAGGAGATGAGATATTAAAAAACTAGAGAATAGTTATGTGTTTCATCAGTGCTATACTGCACCCTGGATATATCATCCTTTTTACATGGCCCTTCTATGAGGGATTGTCCAGTTGTCTTACAGGTGGGTAGATTGCATGCTCTTAATAAACTGACCCCTTATCATCATAAAATGATAATTAGTACTCCAATTTCATAGTGCTGAGTGTTTGTACTGTATATATCTTTCTGTCTTTCAGTGTTAACTTATCTGTATCTCTAAGTCATGTAGACTTATATTTGATACTGCTTTGCTTAA